AGGGGGGCTCCCCTACCCCCTCGCAAAAAAAAAAGCATAAAAAGTTAAAAAACGGGGGGCCGGAATCTGGGGATTTTTTGAGGGGGGGCAGATAATTTTGGGGCCGAAAAAACAAAACGATTTTTTTCAGTTTTTTTTTTTTTTTTTTTTTTTTTTTTTTTTTTTTTTTTTTTTTTTTTTTGGGGGTGGAGCCATCTTATTCCTGGCCAAAAAAAAAAAAAAAAAAAGAAAGAAAGAAAGAGAAGAAAAGAAAAGAAACAGGGATGCAACTGTATAGGGATTGCCTATGGTAAGTGGCCCCCTCTACACAGACTGAACAGGAACAGCTCGGGTGAGTGAACCGCGGAAGTACTTCATTCAATTCTCAATTTCTCACACAGTTGCGATGGCTGCATCAAATGGCACTGTGTAGACAGATGTCACAGGCAGGCTACATGGCTCCTACATGCTAGATACACAGCGGCATGCCCGCTGCAATTGCATAGCCATTCCTGGCATTGCCACTCCAGCCCCTGTACAAATAGGAATCACCATCTCCGGCCGTCATACATGAGAACAATGTCGACTGTCATCACAAGTATGAAACAAAAAAACTTGCATGGGCTATATGCCTCCATAATCCTCACGACACAAAGCATGCCAATCACATGCTAGCCGAACCTCAGGTGGGACATCAGACAGTGGTATCCAGCAAGTTTCTCCGCTTTCCACATCAAACATTACCTCTCTAACGGCAAGTGATTACGCAGCCTGATGCGAAGTAAGGGTGTTTAGCTGTTGCAATATCTGGTCTACAACAGCTCACCTTGGCAGCGATAACCTTTCGGACTTCATTTTCAGTACAGCGCTTTTTAGGCGGTTCATGTGGGGGTTCGAATTCTGCCCATGTAAGGGACACTGGACCCGTTTTCCAGCAGGTGCCGCTCCCCACCAATAGACGGAGCTCCCCCCAGGTGTTAGTGGTGTCTGCTCTTATCAGCACCATTAACATTGACAGGGGCGTTCATTAAAAAAAAAAAAAAAAAAAAAAGAAAGAAAGAAAGAAAGAAAGAGGTGGTTCAAGTGGGAGTCTATTTTCCACCTCAGGGTGCTGCGCCGGCTTGTTCCACAACCATGGTTAACGGGGTAAACTGTTTTCATTGCTGAAATCAGTTTTTTAACTTTTTTTTGGCAAAATTTTCACTTTTTGTCAGTTCTGGGCGAGAATTTTTCTTTTGACCGTTGAAATTGTGTCTGGTGACCATTTCTTATTGTTCTGGAGTGTTTTTTCTGTCTATCGGAATTGTCTGTGGAGCGAGCAGCAGTCATCTTCTCATCGATGACATAAGACAGTACTTCTAGTTCACACCAGCCGCAGTACTGTCATCCTCCGGGCAGAGAGCACGGTGATCCTCTTATATCCAGCGGACAATGTCTGCAAAATCAGAAACAGTATACTGGTTGCAATTGCAATAAAGTCGGTCGACGTGAGAATTGGAGGTTTAGGTTATGGAAAACCTTCGGCCTTACGTGGTTTACAAATAGGGAGAGGGTCTTACTGCAAGTGAGGAGACACGCATCAATGGCATGCTACCTGCGCACACTGGCCTTGCTGTAACACCGTGAGATCACTCAATTCCATACAGATTGCACATCAGGGAAAGTTCATTCTACCTATTAGAACCCACTGAGTCTCATTAAAAAATAATAATAATAAATAATAGTAATAATAATAATAATAATAATAATAATAATAATAATAATCTGAGTCTTATTAAAAAAAA